TCAGTAGTTTAAAAATGTCAGAAATCTTAATATAATTTAATTTCTCTGCGGTATAACCTATCAAGTTTTCTGAATAGAATTCATGGAACGAAGTGTTTCACCTTGCAAGCGTTTAGTTAAAGAAACGATCAGCGAAACTGAGAGGATATTTTAGGAATGATATATCATTTTTCTGGAATTCAGAATTGTCCTGATGCCCGGAGTTCGTCAAACATGTATTGACAGAAGCTCGATAGATGGACAGCAGATGTAGTCCAATATTTCTGATTTCGAATGGAACTAAACTGGAGCAGGAATCCTGTGTTTGTTTTTATCTTTTATCTGACGACTTCCTTCTGTAAAGTGAAACTGGACATTGGACTACTTTTCCAGCAGCATCTTTCGAATTTCGATGGTCATGCAAAATCGCCATACCAATCGACCTGCGCAGTATGCACCTGTGGACAACTCGTTCTGTATCAATCCAGGGGAGTTAATTGAGAACGCATGTTTGATTAAAGCTAGACTCTTGCATTTTTGATGGATCTCAGATTCTGCCATGATACGTGGATCTGTTTCAACGGTTTAAAGAACACTGCGATGATTTTTGCGGTACATGCTGTCTGTAAAATAACTCTAAAATACGTGCTTGACTAGTATTTTTTGCAAAGCATAAAATACTGCTTATAGCAGTAAGATAAATTATCGACCTAAGCTTAAAGTCGTTTCCTTCCATAACTGATTTGGAGTAGAATGTATTTTCATTGTTTTTTGTTGTTTTTATCGTTTTTCATGATGTATCATTGCTTTATGATTTTTATTTTTCTGTTTGAAACAAAACAGTTTGTAGGTTTCTCGCTACCCCAGCAGGTGTCTATCTCATGTACCCAGCGACCATGATGCATCAGCATTACGATCCAACCCAGCGAGAATGGTATGTAAATGCATTTCTTTTCTTTTTTTATTTTTGCTCTTTGCTCTTGTTACTGGGCAGCAAACGGCTCAGACCTCGGCGAGCAAGTCTGTTCGTGAAACAACTTGCATTATGCCTATAATCAGCAACTATTTTGTCATGATTGTCTACTTTATATAATATATCGTTTCCGTGGTTGTAAGTAGGACGCGTGCAGGCAATTATGTGTGCTCTATATACTTGCTGCTGTGCCTATAGTGTATAATTACGGTACTTATTCTAGAAAGTAATGCATAGGCATGTGTATTTAGAACATACCATATGCACAGAAATGAATACATAAACAATTATATACATTAATTTACTATCTGCGTTGCGCCCAATTTCTGTACTTTTCATTTTTAAGCAAAAATACCGCGCAGACCATGGAAACGTTACAACTCATCCCGAGTGTTGTTGCTGTGGTGAGTGGGCAGCGACCAGAGTATAAGGAGTTGCACGAAATGTTCATTTATTGTGATGCGTGAATGAACTTCTGGTCATTTACCAGTCATTCCACTAAGAACCTTAGGATTAGTTTTAAAGTTTTTATGGTCCGTATCATTTGTATGCCATAGCTAACTATGAAGATATGGCAGAAGGACCAGGTGAATCAGCATACACGTTATAGTATATACATGCATATTCTTTATTGTCTATATGGTATGTTCTGTGTACGCATATTTATGCGTTACTTCATATGATACCTGCCGCTCGCGCTAGAGCAGTAACTATACAAATGTCTCTGTGCTGCTTACATTTGTACAGACGATACTATGAACACTTAATACAGCCATGGCCAAATAATTGTTGTTTGGAGGGGAAAATGTCGCTTAAACTCCTAAGTTGCCTATAGGCCGTGAATATCTATCATGAACCCTGAAAATGTCGACTAACGAGGTAGTGAAAATCGTAACGATTGTACCTGTAAACTCTTAAGGTGGTTCCTTGTATAAGAGCTACTGTTTGATCATAAACTCATGCTTAAGGATTCTGAACCATCTGTATCAATTTCCGTTGAACGTGTGATGTTGTGAAATGCAAGATTTGCGATCAGTTCGTCGGATTATGTGTCTCCCATTAACTGTATTTGATAGTGTGTAATTGCTGTTTTCGGTTCCTTGGAGGAGAGCGTTTAGCGGCTGAAGGTGTAATATACATATCAAACCAGGGATATTCTGTTAATACAAACGGCTCAGAACGCCAACTGGTCTCCCAAACTAACTGATGCTCTGCATGGAAGTTGCGGCTGTTCATCTTTTCGTGAACCCTCAGACTGTCGAATTATCTGCCGGAAATAGTATGAACGCTATTCTCAACAGACAATATCTACTTAACAAACAAATGTTTAAGCATGAAGCCTTTGAATTCTCTGCCAAAGTAGAAAAAGTCAGAGCCTGAACTGTTGTAATACTGGGTTGCAATTGTTGGTTCGTTTCTTATGGATGTACAACAGTATTTTCCACACTGCTTATGATTTCATAGTAATTGT